ATATATATATAATTTATGTAGAATTTTCTAAAATTCTTAAAACAATTGTTAATTTTATAATTTTTGATAAAAAAAATACATTAAATAAAAATTTAATAAAAAAAATTTACACAATCTTTTACATAAATTCTATAATAAAAAACTATTTTAAAAAAAACTACCGTGACTATTGATTGCCATCTATCAAATTCGTCCTTTACCACGAGTAATTTTTCCAACAATAATTGGTAATTATAATCTACAATTTACTATTCTTTCAATTCTTCACTAGTTCATAAATAATTATATAAAAAAATATTATCTTTAATTAATTTAATATTTATATTTATATTTATCTATATAAATTATAAGCCTATATATTTTATAAAATTTAATTGAGTATTAAATTTATATTTAGATATATATGTTTTGTAGTATCACATATGACTTTTTAAATTTTCTAGTATTTCATAAAAGCAGTTGTGATACTTTTTAAATTACTGATGACTCTTTAATTGGTGGCTATTGAGTTTATAAAATAATAGCATTCATGGATAAAACAGTAATAACCAATAAAAATAAATCAGACATAATATAATAAAATTAAAATTAAATGTTGTGTATATATAAATAGCATAATTTTGAAAATCCTTGATTGAAAATCAATCCTAAATTAGTTTGAGTTTAGAATTGGTACAATCCAATGGATTTGAGTTGATCTAATTAATTTTTTAAATTTAATATAAAATATTTTTAATTAAAAATTGTAAATTAGAATAACTTATTTGCAATACTTGTTTTATAAATATAATTTAATCATTTATGTTAATTTTTAATATCTTTATTTTGTATAGTTTTTCTTATATTAATTTGATACTTTTTATTCTAGATGTAAACTTGTTATTATTAATAGATATTATTATATTTTATTAAAATTTAAACTCAAATATTATATTATATATAATTTAGAATTTTATGTATACATTAATTGTTTAGAATATGTAAATAACATTTTATTTTAATTTTAATGTTATAAAATTATAATATTATATTTATTTAATATTATTTTTATAATAATAATAATAATAACTATTAAGTATTATTGAGATGTAGAATATTTTAAAAATTTTAAAAATTATTTAATATTTTATTTCATTAATTTAAATTAATATATAAATTTTTTATGATTATCTCTTAATTTAAATTATTAAAATGAAATATCAAATAATTTTTAAAATTTTAAAAAATGTACAAACTTGATCTATGTATTAAGAATTTTAAATTCAACGATTGAATAATTAAAATTTAATATAGAGCATAAGTTGTTGAATGGAATAAGTCTAAGTAAACTTACTCCGAAAGTAAATAAATCCCTTCTCTATATTTTAATATAGAATTTATGATATAAGTTAATTCAAAAAAAACATTTTAATTCCATTTAGTAATTCATAATTTTATCTAATTTTAAAATAAATCAACACTATATCAAATACCCAAAAAAAAATAAAGCAGAACTTTGAAATTATGCATAATCCACATAATTTTTCTTATTAGAGTTCTAGCAAAATCAAAGTCAATGAAACAAGTCAATTTTCAAGTTCAAAATGAATACTACAACAACAAAATGGTATAGTAGAGAAAAGTTAACAAAATCCCAAGAAAAGTGTCAGAAATGAAGAAGTAATAATAGGCTCTTTATTGTATTCGAACTATGTTATGGTTCATGTATGTGAACCTGCAAATCTCGTCAAAAAAATCATCAGCACTACTATGGCTGCTCTTCATCTCAAGAATCTTTATAACCATGCTCCTAAGACTTTTCCCATACTTCAGCAAGGATTCAAGCGTACTCATTTTCTGTTCAGCATTAAGAGGTGACCTCACTGTGATCACAACCTCCTCCAAATACGGAATCACAAATTCTGAATCAACCTGTGAAATATCTTCATTAGATGAGAAATTAAACAACACCCTCAATCAGATAGCTAATATAATGAATATGAACTTACATGTTTGAGACTGTTCTTCTGGCATAAAGCCGCAAACATGGCTCCATGCATATCAAACTTCCGCAGCTTTTGATGAGTGTTGAAAAAGTCCACAAAATCAATCTCTGGAAAGGGTTGAAGAGCATCATAGTCCCCAGTGAATTCAACCTTCATAAAGAGATGATTCACCTCACTTGCCATTTTCAGCATTTTGCATATGGCATCCCAGCACCACTGGATTCCCCTCATACACAGGAACTCCAGAGCTGAAAGATTTCCAAAATCAACCATATATACTCTCCCTGAAAGCAAATAAATTCAAAGAAAAGTAAATTAAACTGAAAAAAAGGGGGAAAACATTGCTTTTAGTATTATTCTCTTATTAAAATTAGAGTTTCACTTCAATAATACATGTAATAAAAGTTTACATTAAAGATCAGTATAGGCTACCAAAGTAAAACTCCTAATTCTAATTAAAACAAATGTTAAAAACGATGAATTAGGAATTTTGTTTTAAATATGCTAAAAAAACTTTTCATATCTAACGGTGCAGGACAAACTCAGGAATTTAGGAAGCAAGGACACAAAAAAAGATGGACAATGTCACAATGTGATGAACCTACAATCCCAAATATTATATCTCTAATACTGTAATACACCACTCAAGCAAGAGCCCTTGGGCTTGAACTGTCAATAAGAGACGCAAGGATCAAACTGTAAATCACTGTGTGTTTGCTAGTGCAATTTTTATGTACATTTGTCATAATTTCACATTAGATAAGTTAAAAACACGCGTAAGTTACTTCCTTCGGCTTCAAGCAACTTGAGTCCATTTCTTAATGAAGTCAAACTAAACAAGCACTTAATACCAAAGGCTCTCATGCTATGTCATGAACAACCATGCCAAAATCTAGTAGAGACACGAATGATTCTACATTATGAACTTGTTTAGATATAAGTTTAGAAACACTTTTAAGAGCTTCTTTACTGAAAATAAATAATTCTTTTTGGTAGAAAAACTTTTAAAAAGTACTTTTAATTTGTATCCAAACAATCTCTATATATTTGTCGGACAACAGTCAAGTCAACAATAAATGTATAAACACAATAACCAATTTATCGATTTAACTACCTGCACTGTTGGATATGGAAAGTTTCCTCAAATGCTTGGTTTCAGGAACCCTTATCCAGCTACACCCTTGCACCTCAAGTGATTCAATTTTGGGGGAATTCAAAGTGAGAGAACAGTTCCCGATGCCATAAAAATCCAGCTTACACTGCTCCAAACATGGCAACTCAATAGATACCGATCTAACCCCTTCACATCCAAGCAGCAACAACCTGGTGAGAGCTGGGCAAGAGTGCAACACAGCACTCAACACAGCGTCATCCAACCTTGCACCAACAATTTCAAGGTTCTGGAGGTTAGGAAACACATCCCATTTGGGGGAACGCATTATCAACACACCCCACAGTTTCAGAGACACCAAATTCTTGGCAGCACCAACATAATCCAACTTGGAAGGGCTCTCATGGAGATCCTCATTGTCAGCGAGGTTGTCCATTCGGAGCTCAAGCTGTAGAAGAGACTGCCCCACTAGTGAGAGCCATGATGCAAGGCCATCAGGGGAAAATGGGCTATACACAATTAGCTCTTCTAATTTCACCACTCTTGACACCATTCTTTTGATGATGCTGTCACCATCCTCACCAGAAGGAGAAGGGTTGTCAAAGGAGCTGCGAGGAAAGTAGAGGGTTTTGATGTAGGGGGTGGAGTCCTTCCATCGCTTGGAAACACAGTTGCAAGATGCCACGTCACGAGCATGTGTGATTCGGGACAAGATGCATTGGAGAATGGCATCGGGTAGAGAATCCATAGCTGAGTAAGAATCAAGAATCAAATAGATAATTGTTAATGTGTGTACACAGATTCAACTCTATCTAATTAGTCATCAATAACCATACTTTGTACAAATAACATGTTAAAAGAAAAAATTCAACTCCATCTTTCAAAATCAAAACCATGCAGTTATGCAAACAACAACAACAAAAGCTTTGTCCTTTTTAGGTGAGGTCGGCTACATAGACCACACCCCATCATCCGGCTAGGTTATGAGAACACAACACACAACGATGACAAAAAAATTATCTTAGTAGGTGAAATTAAGTACATGGATCACACAGCATTATTTGGCTCAATTATGAAAAAAATACACAACAAAAGAAGTCTTATCACAAAATGAGGTCCAGAAGTTGCCAACACGGATTACCCAACATCATATGACTCGATTATGGAAACAAGTTACAAGAACAACCAAAGATGGTTTTCTCCAAGCAATTACGAAAAAAGAATACAGATTTGGCAAGCACAGTTTTCTGGTACCCTATGACTTAATAACAAGAAAACATCAATAAAAGTCAAGACATGGATTAAACAGTGAAATTTTACAACTTTAACTGGTAGATTAACTATGGGTAACAAAGAAGCCAAGCTCCAAAACAATCTTTTTCTGATTCTGCACCAACAATGAAGAACAGCGAAATGTAGAACAAGAGTACCCAGATGGAAATTAATGAATTCCTTGCAGTTGTGCATTCAAAAACTACATTTTTGCACTAGATAAGATTCAATTAAGGATTAGATAGAAACGAAATGATGAAAAAGTAGAAAGAAAGTGCAAGAATGAAATGCAGAAAGAAAGAGAAGAATGAAGGGAGTGAGAATTGACGAAACTTACCAATTGGAAGATCTAGATTGGGAGTGGGTGCCGATAGCCAACTCACTTTCTCTCTCTCTTAAAATTGGAGAGAGAGAGAGAGAGAGAAAAGAAGGAGCGGGAGTATGAAGAAGAGGCAAGGAGTAAGATTTTATTTGGGTGTTTCAAATTTTGAAAAGCATGACTTCGCTTTGTTATTTAAACACTAACTCAAGTTTTTCCTATTTCACTACATTACAAATTTAGGACATGCAACATCTCCAACATTAACTCCCTCAAATGATTTTTTAACTCAGTTTTGTAACATAAGTACAATATTTTACTCCAATGATCACGGTCATGCCAAAAAAAAATTATTATAAGGTATAATGCGATATTTTTATTTTATTTTAATTGTCAATTTTTAAAAAATTGTCAATAACAATTATTTATCTACTAGTATTTAAGTTTATACGTTTTATAAGTTAAATACTTATTATATATAATTAAAATTTATAATAAATTATATATAAATCAATATTATATATAAATTATATTTAAAATTTATATAGATAAACATTTTTAAATATATAAATTATATTTTAATTTATGATAAAACATAATGGTAATTATTTTAAACTTAACGACATTTTCATAAGATGTTATTTTTAATTATTATTGTTCGTGAAATATACTTCTATTAAATAATAGTTATTAAGAACACTTTCATTTTATAATCAATTATTTCTAAACTTTCATAATAATTTTAGTAATCTATTCTTGGACACAAATGATTTCTACAAAAATTTTGTAATTTTAACTTAAAAAAATATTTTAAGCAATAACAATATTTACAAGTATTGTTGATAATATTTTAAAAGTCATCCATGTATTTGAATATATATATATATATATATATATATATATATATATATATATATATATTGCAAACATACTAATAAAATTCATCTACCTAAAATATTACATTATATCAACATTATAATTGTCATAAAAATATCTTTTTTATATAACGATTCATAGATTCATTCATTAAATTTAAATTCTAAACTAATTTTTAATTTCAATAATTCTTCTTAAGAGGAAAGAGGTAGAGTGTAAAATAGATGTAAAATAATTTTCTTAACTATATAAAATAATAGTAAGATTACACTTAAATGACTTACAATAAAAATGTAAATAAAAATTTGAGACCTAAATAATTGGATGCCTAAGGCAAAAATATTATGGAGTTCTTAACTTGTTTTGGTAAACTCTACGATTATTCATTAATTTTTCCTATATTTTTTAATATTTTTTAAATTGTATTTTAACTGATAATACTATTTTTCATTAATTTTATTACCACAAGTCTCTTTTTATTTTTATTTTTTTCTCTAAACAAATTGGACCATTTTCTCTACGTTCTGTTTGTAAAACACAACACTCCATAAGTCTCTTCCCTTCTTGCAGAGACCATGATGTTGTTCGTCTTCTCAATCTACTTCAATCTTTTGAACTACGAAGGTTGTTTTTTTATTGTTAATAAGCAACTGTGTTTACACGTGACTTCTTTGTAGATTTGTTTCGATGATTGAATTTTATAAGGACCTGATTTTAAGTTTTAATGAAGTTACGATTGAAAATATTAATTTATTTCTATAAAAGTTAATTCAATAAAAATGAGTTATTTTTATAATAAAAAAAACAAAACAAAAAAACAATAACGTTATAAATAAGAATGAGATTTTTATTCATAATTTAAAAAATCGGACCGATCATTAAATCAGTTAAGATATCGGATCAGTGAGTCAAAGGTTGAATCGGTGAGTCATTAATTGAACCACATGACCTGGTTTTTATTAATTTTTTTTTAAAATTCATGTTAAATATATTTTATACTTATAAATTTCAATAAATTCATATCTTATCTTAAATTTTAATTTTCATCTTATTTAAAATTATATTTTTTATTTTGTATAAAGAAATAAATAAAAAAATATTTTAATTTTTTTTTGTTGAACCAGTTTGACTCACTAATTTGACCCACCAACTCACTCACTAGTTGAACCGAAAAGCTTATCAGTTCACTCTGGTTTAAAATGGGTCGAATGCATAACTAATCTAACTCAAGATTTAGACCAATTAGAGCACCGGTTTCCAGTTCAACCAGTCAAAATTATATTTTTTATTTTGTATAAAGAAATAAATAAAAAAATATTTTAATTTTTTTTTGTTGAACCAGTTTGACTCACTAATTTGACCCACCAACTCACTCACTAGTTGAACCGAAAAGCTTATCAGTTCACTCTGGTTTAAAATGGGTCGAATGCATAACTAATCTAACTCAAGATTTAGACCAATTAGAGCACCGGTTTCCAGTTCAACCAGTCCGTCCCGATTTTTAAAACATTGCTTCTATCTGACTTTATAAATACATGTGACATTTTGTGAATTTCAACTAAATATTATAAGTAAATTATTTTTAACGAGTTAATCATTTATACACTGTCAGTGTAAAGTTTTTTTTACACGGACAACTAATCAGATCTTTTAATAGTGCCTTTTTTTTATTTTAATTTGATTAAATAAGCAAATGACGTGACACTATTAAAATATCTTATTGGTTGTCAGTGTAAAAAAACTTTACACTAGCAATGTATAAATGATTAACTCATTTTTAATTATTCAATCATTTTTAATTAGAGATATATGTTTAATAAATGATCACCATGAGTGGGACTGGATGGAATTTGATCAATCATTTTTCCAAATGTTAAGGTAATAATTTGAATCAAGAATTCTCTTTATTGTCAACTAAGTCATTGTTTGTGTACCGGAAGGTCCCTATCGGTCACGTTGACCA